GAACCCAGAATATAGCTCTCTATGGGACATTTTCACTTTTTTCGGTTCGATGCACATTAGCTTGACTCTTGTTTTCACAGGCTTGGCTACATTTCTGTGATTATAAAAAGACAAAGTGTTATGTGGCTGTGGCTTCTCTGGAGAGGAGAGGAGCTTTGGGCACTCTCCAGCAGCATCGGAGAGTGAACAGACCCTTATTTTTAAAGCACTTTCGAGAGTATTATTTGGCACGCTTTTGGAGGCAAGAACTGATCCAATAAAATGTAAGTTAGCATTGGACTTTATGGACCCAGGTGCCAGGGGCTAAAGTTTTGTGTGAGAGTTAGCAAAAGGCTCAGATCTCATAATGATATAGCTGCAGGAAGATACACTCAACTACTTTTCCAATAATTACTGTTTTAATGTTGCAGTGTGTAACTTTTCTAATGGATGGCCTGATACGTACTTGTCTCCATGGAGATGTTATTGCTTTACCTGCAATACTCCACAGTATTGGATTAAACTAATGTGTGGTGTTAGCTTATAACTCTATGCAGGCAGGCAGGTTACAGGTCAGATCTATGGAGAGCCAACTTCCACTCACAGTAAGAATGTGTCGCATGCAATTAATCAAAATAAATTGATGCATTATCCATGCACAAAAGTTGGGCTGAGGCTTACCTGGCAGGAGGAACACTGTGCTCAGGAGCTGTCCTCATTACACATGGTTATATTTATACATGAAGTCCATCAGACCTCATGTGGATAAGAGCAGATCTGTTGGTGGCTGTTTACACACAGCAAATCAAAGAAAAGACGCTGTGGAGATCTCAAGTTGCACACTGTGGGCTGTACGAGAGGAAAATAAAGGTTGTGTGTGAGAGTTCAAACAAGCAAAATGGGCCAAATATTTCACCAAACTGTTACGGAACGCTGGAAGATGCCAGGCCAACTCTAATAGCTTGTATCTGTCACAATCAGTGCCAGTTACACCCGCAAGTGGCAATGAAGGGCCTTTAACTCCACATTAATCTGGAACATGATGCGATCACACAAGTTCATATGAAATGCAATTAATATAAATAAAATATAGCCAGTTGGGCTTTGAAATAATTTATTTAGATTTTGTGGAATAATTAAATGTTTAAAATGCTTCAAATTAAAAAGTTTAAAGGTGTATTGTGTACATTTTCTGGTTGAGGGTCCGTCAAATGCTTTTCTCCATGGAGATGTTATTGATTTGTCTGGAATGTTTCACAGCATTAAACCTTTCTATGTTCAAAAAACAAGACCAAGTTACAGGTCAGATCTGTGACTGACTGTTCACAGTCAGAATGCCTGTTTTTAAACCACCTGTAATGAAATAAATGTAAGGTAAAGCTTGTTTACTGTCATACTGTTGAAAATTCCAGGCAGACCAATATTTCCATAGAAACAAGCTAGTGACGGACCCCCAATCAAAAAGTTACGTAATGCACCTTTAAATCAAAATCAGCGCGCATTTTCATTAATCATATTTGAAAAGTGGTATTAAGTTGATTTATTTTTTGTTTGACAGCACTAGTTTGTATGTGCATGAAACATAACACAAAAAGATATAATTTACACAAAAATATCTGTGAAACATATCTCATTTAAAACACAATTGCTCCCTGTGGATCGGCGTTGTGCGATAGTCCATATGAGAGCTCCCTCTAGAGCCACTGGAGCGCCGCTGCACTAATTGCCTGTTTGTCAGTCTGCAGACATATTATTACACTGTTTCTCTGTGTGCGACGAGAGGGTGCCACTGTCACTACACACGTTCTCTGAGCGGTATGTGATAAGCAGGAGCAGCCACGCTTATCCCCAATGCTACAATTTAGATTCTGCCATCAAATAAAAAATAATAATTTAATCGCTCACTGTAATTACGCACCGTGGGGGAGTGATACATCAGATAACATGTTCTACACTGTATTAAACTTATCTGTCACTGTGGAGACAAGCGGGCAACACCTACATCCCACACCAGACCAAGTTACAGGTCAGATCTGTGGAGAGCTGACCCCACTTTTTGTAAAAATGTATGGACTAAACAGAATGCCTGTAACTGCATTTCAAATAGAGCCACTAAATTGGGCCATACCTGGAGGACTAAAGGCGGTTATCTACACTTCAAACTCCGCCTCTTCATCCATGTTGTTAGTAACCAGAAACACCTGGCTGTAATCAGGGCAGCTTTGTGTGGTGTCACCAATTACTTGAAATAGCAGTGGGCAGTGCACACTTTAAGTTTAAATCAGTGTTTACTTGTGCATAACTTGTCACTGCATATTGGATAGAATTTTCTGTTTTGGCTACATAGAGGTTTTCTGTTTTATAACTCACCACTCTGTATTTTTATACTTTTTATCAACAATTTTCCCACCAACTGCCACTTAAAGGGTAGCTAGACTGGCGCCACCTAGTGCCTCTGCTCAATTTCATTTCTCTTCAGCGACTAGGTCAGGAATCAGAATACACTAGATGATTCGCAAAAACCCCAGAAGTGCGGGTGTGGGCACCAGCCAATCAGCGAAGAGCCATATATTTTGTGTTGGCAACGATTCCCGAGATCGAAGATTTAAAGCCAGAATAAAAAGAATGTTTGGTGAATTTAATCAAGGGGAAAGACATTATTGCCATTCTTCCGATGGGATTTGGGAAAATCTTAATATACCAGTTAGCCGTCATGACCAAATAGCAGCAATTGGTTAAATGAGAAAAAAAGTACCCGCCTACGATTGAGCGAATGAATTCTAACACTGCGAGGTCAGACAGTTTCTATGAAGTGAAATTGGTTGATGAATCAGGCTACTTAAAGGGCACATATTTCGCAGTTTTCTGATCTATTGTGTATTGTTCTTCTGTGTCTTCCCTCAAACTGAAAACACTTTGTTCCTCCTTGTGATGTTATGTGGAAATACAGAAAGTTTGATCAAAGGTAGCAGTTAACTTGACTGCTATAAACACTATATGACATCACAGGGTGGAACAGATAATTTTGAGCTTTGGAGATGTAAACAGACTTAAACAGACTAACACAGGATTTCTCAAATGTGTGTGAATGAAACAAAACATAGCTCCAGGTATGTTTTCGAGGCGGTAACAGCATTATAACATGGCTTAAAGCTCACAAGAGTCAATGCAGTAGAACCTTTAACTTATATAAAACTATGATAAATATTTACTACAGGTACTATCTCACCAAACCAAGCCATAATTACACAAACATAAAAACCTGTCATACGCACTGTAATTACACACCGAAGGGGAATAGATACATCAGATAACGCATCACAGATTTGTAAGTCGTGTGGGAAGACACTGGAGCCGAGATGAGATTAGGGGATAGGGGTTTGGGACAGGGGGAGGAGGGGGTGTACTGTTTAAGCTGGCGTATCCTCACACATGTGCGAGAGGAAAGACAGAGCAGAGTATATGGCTGCTGATGTGAGGAGCAGATCCAAAACGCTTCCTTGTTAGTCGCGCCCGGTTCAGCCCGAAGAGCCTGGACCTCTTTGAGCGCTTGTTAACTGTGTCGCACAAACTCTGGAGAAGTTACAAATCTGCTGCCGTGACCAAAGTGGGACTGTAAATGAGTGTGGGGAATGCATTAGAACAGAACAGGGAGGTGGGACAATGCAGGTGAAGACTGCACTGTTAAAGTTAGGACGTTACGAATAGATTCTCACTGGACATGGGCTGATTGATGAAACAATGGGGTCCTCCACTTGCTTGTCTCTATGGAGATGTAACTTGCTTGTCTGGAATGTCCCAGTATGGCATTAAACATCTTGCATTTACTCAATAACATGTGTTTTTATTGACTTAAAACAGGGATCTCCAAACTTTTGCGTCCAGTGAGCTACCTTTACAAAACGAACATGCCGGAGAGCCACTCATTTTAGAGGTCACTGGAAACAGAGTGGATATAAGAAAGCAAGCCTAAATGTTGTACAGTTAGAAGCCTTTAAACATAGAACCATTATTCATTTATTAGAACACAAAGTTCAAAATAACACATTTACAATGGCAATTCATCAAATTTGAGTTATAAAGTATAATATGTATAATTCAGAAATCTCTGGATGAGCTACTTGTAAGGGGGTGGAGAGCTACTGGTAACTCCCGAGCTACAGGTTGGAGACCCCTGACTTAAAACATGCATTCTTACTGTGAGTAGGCTTACATCTCCACAGATCTGACATGTAAAATGGCCTTACAATGTCAACTGCTGCCGCCTTAGAAATAAATGCAATACTGTGTAACATTCCAGGCTTTATCTCCATGAAAAGGAGAAGGTGATGGACACTCCACCATAAAAGTTGCACAATGGTAGCCTGATTCATCAGCTGGTTTTACTTCATTTAACTTCATACAAACTGTCTGACCTTGCAGTGTTAGAATTAGTTTGCTTGACAGTAGGCGGGTACTTTTTATCATTTAACCAATCGCTGCTATTTGGTTGTGATGTATGTAATGCGCCACTAACAGGGCTAACTGGTATATTAAGCTTTTCCCAAATCCCGTAGGAAGAAGGGCAAGTTCCCCTTGATAAAATTCAGCAAACATTCTCTTTATTCCGGCTTTAAATCCTTAATCTCAGAAATCGTTGCCAACACAGAATATATGGCTCTTCGCTGATTGGCTGGTGCCCAGATTCACACTTCTGGGCTTCTTGCAAACCATCTACTGTATTCCAATTCCTGACCTAGTCACTGGAGAGAAATGAAATTGAGCAGAGGCACTAGGTGGCACCAGCCTTGCTAGCACTGTGCACCTTTAAAGTAAAAAGTAATAGAATTAGCTTCTATTTGTGAACACTAACCCTGTGTCCCTCTGCCCACAGGACTGATGCCCAGATGCTGTGTCCACCCACGCGCGATCCTCCCCTGCTCTCCCTGACCGCGTCCACCCTCCCCGGCCGTAACCATAACAACAACTGCTGCCCCCCCGCCGGCGCCTGACCCGACCACCCCACCGCACCCCACCCCACCATGGTCCCGACCCTGCTCCTCCTCCTATGCTCCACCTTCCGGACCGCCCTGCTCTCGGTGGGCGGGGGCGGCGGCGGAGGGGAGCCCGGGCAGTTGAAGCGGGAGGTGCGGATCGAGGGAGACCTGGTGCTGGGTGGGCTGTTCCCGGTGCACGAGAAGGGCGCGGGCATGGAGGAGTGCGGGCGAGTGAATGAGGCCCGGGGCATACAGAGGCTGGAGGCCATGCTGTTCGCCATAGACCGCATCAACCAGGACCGGAGCCTGCTGCCGGGGGTGTCTCTGGGGGTGCACATCCTGGACACGTGTTCCCGGGACACTTATGCTCTGGAACAGGTACGATATGACAGGAAGGTTGATGTGGTGATGTGGGGAGGTGGAGGTGAATGGACTGGAGTGTAGAGCTCAACTTACCTGATCAGCCAATCCCGTCTACATTCTGATCGAATCCAGAAGGGACTGTATGTAGATTTTTCTCCTTTGCAATATGTAAGCAGCCAATTCAAAGTACGCTCTGGTTCCGGAAGTCAATTTTCCATAATTTTTTCCCATAGACATTTCAAACTATTAAATGCACTTATAAACTCACTGCTGTGAATAATTAGGATCCTTTGAATGTATAAGGTAAGTGAGAAATAATTCAGGAGCCCTACACTCTGGAGCGTGTAAGAGGAAGGATGGTGGTGTAGGGAGGTGAAGGTGAATGCACTGCAGTATGTTTAACTTATTATGTAGGGGACATATAAAAATAAAAGTGTATGTTTTTAAAACTTTTACTGGAGATAAACTGACAGTGGATGGATTGTAGTGCTGGGGCCTATCCAGGGTTGCAGGTTACACCGGACAAATGAACAACCAAAATGTGCAAAGAAAGCAGTTTTTGTGCAATGACCTGAGTTCTTCACACATTTACTATGCCCTTGAGCATACTGTGAATGTCACAGTAAAAATATACACTGTTAAATTGTAAGACTTGAAAACTTTACTATTATTACTAAAATTACCATACCTCGCTGGGACACCCCAGTAGTGCAGTGCTAGTGCAGTCTCTGCAGCTCAGAAAGTGAATTTTTTGAGCTTTCACATTAGCCATGGCCTGCCTATATGCTGAGAATAAGAAAAACTGGTATGTGTACTCTATCCACCGGTTAAGGCACTGGGTTGTGATTGTAGTAACTATTTAAGATAAGTATTTAACCAAAAATAGTTCAGGCTACATACAGCACCTCTAAATGTGTAAAACATCCTTTAAAATATATGAGAGTATGCGTTTGTGTTGGATAGTCATGCCAGTACTATATGCTTAGACAGACAGTAAAGTTCCACAATGTAACTTTACGACATGGTTCTTTGCTCTTCACTATTACTCAAGTTAATACCCAGCTCCCTCCCTTCTGAGCACGCTCTTAAAGATTTAGTACTTCCATTTCCTTACCCATACACTGTAAAAAAAAGTATAAATCTATCAATTCTGTTCACAGCTAATCTGCAGGTAATGCTTTTAAATGCTTCTGGAGATGGAGACTGACGTGGTTTGCTGTGAGGGAAATGAGGCGCTCACAAATGCAGTACTCCTTAGGGACCGTTATTGCATAAAGAGTTTTATATATATTTTTTATTACTGTGAGGCTATTTACAGACAGTGCCTTGAGTCTTATATCATACACTGTACACACACGATTGCTCTGGTAAGACATTTTCTCACATTTTATGTTTTGATGATTATGTTGTACTCCCGGTGGACTTCTCTTTCACTGTAAAAAGAAGCATGTGCAGGATAAAATCATATGAATTCAATACAGTAATTATCCGAGTGGTTCTGGATATGCAGTTATTAACTTACATGACATTAATCTTTTTTATAGATTGGCAGATAATCTTAAAAACAATAGCTTGAAAACAGCTCATTTGGCACCGCAGTCAAAATTTGACACAGTATTGCCTGCCTTCAGAGCAAAATATAACTTAAATGTAGATACATTTGAATTAACATTAACATTTGTAGGTCAAAGACTAAACTTGAAGGGTTGAACAAAACAGATGTATTTAGAATTAGCAATTATTTATCACACAGGAGAGTTTGTGTAGCTGCTTTACATGTTTCAGCTACTTCCTGAAGTCTTCCTCAGAAGCATCATATGATTGGGTAGTGACGTGTCTTGTAGGCTGCTTTACTTGGTTTTGTTAGACATATCGCGTACACCCTCTACTGTCTGACGCCTTCTCCAGGTCTGCACCCCATGTGTGTGAAAAGGTGTATGCTCCCTCGTCACAATTTATGCTCCTTGGCCCTTGAAATTGTTTAATATTCTGAAATCAACTTTTAGTTTTATGACATTTCTTTCTTCTTTGTGAAACTTGATCTGACAGATTTCAAGTCTACATTTGTGAACTCATTTGTAAAGCCTTTAGCATTCCAAGTGGTTTTACCAGATGATTGAGAATAAAGAGACAATAAAGAGCATATGGCACCATGATAGAAGCACTCAGTGAGATTCAAACTGCAGGCAAAACCAGTCAGACATTTTGCTCATAAGTGAAATGAATGGGACGAGCTGAAAAGTTTTCTCACTGGATAAAGTTTCACCACAACATATAAAAAAAGACAATGACTGATCAGTTAAAGGGCCCATATTACTGTATTTTCTGATCTGAAAACGGAGTTGTGTTGTGTTTTATTCACACATGTTTAACACACAAACCCTGCATATTTAAGATGTGTTCTTCTATCAGATGGAAAACACTCTGTTCCACCTTGGGATGCCATACAGGAAGTGCTTCACTGTGTTTTTACACCTTTACTAGAATCATTTGGATAATTCATAATTCTGGATTTCAGATCAGGAATTGCCCAATGCTACTGAACAAAAGGTGAAAGGAAGCTCTTAACTTGAAAAATACTACTTCATGACATCACAATGTGGAAAAGAGCATTTTGAACTTTGGGGATCTTAGTAATGCAGAATATCTGAATGAAATAAAAAAAATTTGATGAGGAAACAACATTCTAACATGGCATAAAGCTCAGAAGAGCAGACCGTTTTGTGAGATCAGGCTTTGACAAGGAGGTATGGATACACGTATTTCTTTATGAAGCATTCATGTGTTGGCATCATATTTACCAAAGTAGTGCTGCTAGTTTGTCACTTGAAAATTGTTTAGTTCTTACTCTTGCCAGTAGAGGGCATCAGTCATTTAAATTCATTGCTGCAAAAAATGTCTTATAGTTGAATTGTTGTTCTTTATAGGCCAGGGGTGTCAAACTCAAATTCACAGAGGGCCAAAATTAAAAACTATGACTAAGTCATGGGCCAAACTCAAGGGTTCAAGGTTCTTTATTTGTCATTCAAGCATGCGAGAGAAACAGATGACAGAACAAAATGTGCTCCCTGAGGCCCAGTGATCCAGGGAGAGATAAAAACAATAATAAATAAGCAATACTAATATATTAAACTATAATATTTATTGAAAAATGGCAACAACATTTGCATGTTTTTCTTCTTTGTTGTGTTAAATCTTTTCTTATTAAAATAAATGTTAGTCTTGCTTAAACATTGAATCCAGAACAAGCATAATATTAAATAATAACAAAATTGTAAATAAATAATGTCTCTATTGCCTAACTGTAGCCAGTAGGTCAGCTCTAATACATATTTGATATGATCTCGCAGGCCAAATATAATTATATCATGGGCCAAATTTGGCCCATGGGCCTGAGTCTGACATGTTTGTTGTAGCCCTCTGCATGCACCTATATCTGTGTTTAACTTAAAAAGACTAAGTGAGCTGTGTCACACTCTCCGGTTACTCCAGAGACTGACCCTGTCACATTCTTTAAATATATCTTCTGATATATATCTCATATATGCACATGTATTTTTACTCTCAGTAGCATAAAGGTATTATCTTATGACTGACTTATGTGAAGCTTAGCATGTGAAGTGGAGCGTCCTTATCATTAAACTTTTTCTCTTCACCTCGGTCTGGAGTCATTTCTTTTGAACAGCATCTCCTAATATCACTCAAACAAATTCATTCATTGAAATGATAAATTCTACTAATACAAAACTCTAAAAGCATACGTCTTGCTCCATGTTTTCAGGCCCTTGAGTTCGTGCGTGCGTCTCTGACCAAAGTGGACGACACAGAGTTCATCTGTCCTGACGGCTCATATGCTCTGCAGGACGACAGCCCTCTGGCCATCGCAGGGGTCATCGGGGGCTCCTTCAGCAGTGTGTCCATACAGGTACCTCACTCCCATATGCTTATATGGCAATCTGTGGCAGACATGTTGACACCTTTCTGGCTTAATGGTTGGTTGTTGACTTGTTGTCCCTATGGTGAAATTGGTGCTCTGCATGTGACCTATTATTTTTTCTTGTCATTGACACTTGACCCTAGCCAGACCGCTGTAGGATTAACCAAGTGAGCATATTGTGAGTTTATGAGAATGAAAGCATCAATTTAGAATCTCATCCAGATGCAAGGAGAACATACTAACCATATAGACCCCTCTAGTGTCCTGTGCCTAAAGCCTGGTTCCATTAGCTCCAATAATATTTTTAATGAGGGAGTTCTGTCATAGTGTGCTTAGGCAAGACACATCACCCAGCTAGCTATAGCTACATTAATGGCTTATTACCAACAGTTGTTTGGAGTGAATGAATAATGACAACAGCATAGTGCTTTGAGTGACTTCAACATGCCTGTAAAGTGCATTACAACAAGGTATTATTATTATTTTATTCAACCACATGTGAATAAAACCAGAGCTTCTTTTTAAAACATCACTACAATTGGTTCTTGCATATAGAACCAAGTCAGAAGGACAGATTGCACTAAAAAACATAGCCAACAGTTTGAGATTGATATATGATTTTTATTTGACCAAGCACCACTGATCCTACATGATTGAACCCACTGTACCCAAATATTCTTCTTTGCTTCCATGTTATAAGAAATTTGACACAGTGGCTTAGCTTAGACTTCCCATCAACCACAGCCAATGACAAACCTGTTCTCTACATCTATATCTCCTTCATATGTGAGAATGATAAATCGAACTCTCTGGGATTCTTGGTAATGGACTTTGCATGTTTTCCTTAATCTGCCTGGTCTGCGACTCAAACCGGTGACAATCCTGTGACTTGGCAGTGCTGACCACAAGGGAACTTTATGTGTTGCTGCTTTGGGCAGGATTTTCTCCTCAAGCTTTCCTCTTATATAACAATTGTTCCATATATGCTACTGCCCAAAGATTTGCATGAATGGGAAACTTTTTTTCTGCCCTTGTTAAATTCTGCACCTGCTTTTTACTATTTTAAAAATGTTTAAAACAAGACTAATTAATTTTAAGCAGTTTTCATTGGTTCAAAGTTATGCCTCACTTACCTTGTGCATTCTGAGTATCCTAAATAATCACCATGATGAGTTTATTAGCAATTTTCATCATTTTCAAAGACCAGTGCAGAGTTTTGCCATCATGGTAAACTTAGAACAACTAGCATGCTAACAATGTTCTTAATGTTCTTCTTGATTAATGGGTATCATCAATTAGGTATAGGACCTTTAACAACACCCATATAATACACAAAAATATCCTAACTTCAGACCAGTGTGCAAATTAACACCAAAATAACTGTTTACTAGTATGCAAATTAACAGCTACACTTCTCTAGGGTATTAATTGGCAACATAAAGCATATTTATATTAGCATGTTAACGTTTAGCGTTTTTGACAATGCTATATTCACAGAGAACAACATATTAACATGGTTTAATAAGTTTCACTTTTGTTTTTGACACTGTATGTCCCTTACTACTTCCCGTGCCATGTCACTCCCCCTTCAGAGCGCTCACATTACAATCTGTGTGCATCCTATGACATAGTGGGAATCAGAATCATACTGGTAACTCTAGGGAGGGTTTGAATAGTGTCCGGGAGAGAGATAATAAGATTACTCGAAAATGTGCAGAGTACAAATACAATCTCATCCGACAGGTTTTTAATGAGGGAACAATGTTTTAATACAGTGGAAAGCTCTTAAAAGTAGATTTTGCATAATACCCCCTCTTTAATGAACGTACCCTAAAATAAAGTATTACTCCAATTTGTTATTAATTAGTCCTCCAAAGTTGCCCCACCTTCCACCGTGGCCCACACCTGGATCTGGGCCTGGTTTAGTCATGGACTCCTCTGTACCACTGGCCGCTGGTGCATTCCCATGTGTTCCATAGCTCATGTTGCTCTTGTCGCCGTGCCGACACATTTGCATATTTTAGCATAAACCCTCCTTCTGCCTTTTCCCCACTGTGGCTGCACAAAAGCCGCCTCCTATCACTGCTTAAATCCCTAATCTCAGTGCCTCTGCCTCTCCCATCCCAAGCACTTTCTGTTGTTCAGAAATCTCATCAGTCTCTACTTTTCTATGTGCATGAAGTAGAGCTGGACGAGTTTGCCGAAGTTTGTAACTGTGATTTTAACAGATTTTAAAGGAACTGTAGGTAGCCTGGGATCAAAATACATATACATATATATATATATAAAACCTAATAATAACCTGCATGTAGACAACACATACATTTTTCTTATTCTCATTATATGTATGCCGTTACTCATCTGAAAGCTCAGAACCTCCAGAGTTCACTCCCTGAGCTGCAGAGGCCGCACTAGCACTGATTCATGATTGACTGCAGATGCTGAGGTTTAGGTAGTGACCATTCAGAATGGAGAGAATTCTTTTAAATTTAACACCAACTGGATTTCAGCATTGGAACTGGCAACACAAATGAGAGACTCGTGTAAGACTCATTTGGCTCTGATTGGTTAATTGTCTGTAGAACTAATCCACCGAATTACAATCTCATAAATAGGACATTATGTACTTGTATTATGTTTTTGTAAAATAAATAAAACAAATCATCATTACAAATTATTCTCTTGATATAGGAAAGGCTATAAGATCATGCTTGTCTCATGGAAATATTATTGCTTTGCCTGTAATGTTCCACAGTATGGCATTAAACCTGTTTATCTCCATCCACATGGTAAGCAGGTGACCAAAGGGCCAAATCCTTGTATTAGTCACAAGTAATTTAATGAATAATGAATAAGAATTTTATTCCATTCTATGGAGCATTTTAGGCGAAGCTGTAGCACTGCTAAAATACAAGGAACACTTTGAATACACATAAGATCTCAGTGTCAAAAAAAAAGACAAAAAGTTGGATACCTATACAAATATGGACACGGCAATGTCTTAGGAACAAAAGTATGCCACCCCATTTAATGGAAATTAACGATAGGTACATTAGAGTGGCAACACCTAAAACAAGAGGTCGTTTCAACTTTCTCCCTCTTGGTCTTTTTTGTCTGGTTTTCCACTAGTGCTGCTTTGGCTAGATTGATTATCACTACTGGTAGTATGAGGCCATTCCTTAACTCTACAGAAGCTGCAAAGATTGTCCAACTTCTCTAGGATGACAGGTTGCAAGGAGATTTAATGTGTCTCCCAGCACAATCTCCAGAACATGAAGGACATTTCAAGAGACAGGCAGTTACTCTATGAGAGCTGGACAGGCCCTCAACCCATCAGCAGGATCCAACAGGTTGAGCACTGCCTGTGCCCTATAGAATGACCTCCAGCAAACTGTTTATGTTTAATGACATAATCCCAGACAAAGCACTCCAAATAACTCCATGGAGACAAACAGGCAGAAGGCCCCCCAGCAGAAAAGTAACAGTGCATCTTTACACTGATTATATTGCAATGAATCATTTAGCCCTAATTTGAATGCAGCACATTTTCGACGCAGTCTGACAATGCATTTATGCCTCTCTGTACCTCTATAGTCCTCTCAAATCACAACATAATCACAGTTCACTCCCGCTGCCCTCATCTTGTTTTCACCTGCTCTTCTCGAGGTGTTTACAAGACCTGGAATGTGCTCGGCGTTCCAATGACCCAACGCCGCGCAATTCTGAGCTGTGTCCAACCCGCGCTGCCTGGCCCGTCCATCTGCTCCTGCTAAATGAAGTAATGGGGAATTATTTGCTGTTTAACCATGCACTACTGAATCCCACAGCCCCGGAGACATTTCCATAGCCGATGCTGCGTTCCCAGGCGCCTCTGTGACTTGCATTCCAAACACCAAACACAGCCCTCCTCTCCTCTGCAGTATGTTTTTTTTTTTTTCCATTTCTCTACATTTTTTATCGGAGCACGTTCAGCTCTTTGCATTCTTTGAGAGGGAAGCTGGCGGTGAAGGACTAAGCACAATTTGCGACCAGTGAATAGCCATAATGACATTTTGGCCCAGTTCAGAATCTGTAAGGGCTTTGAGATAAAAGTTGACTGAGGAGTTCAAAAGGGTTCAAGGGTACACAGACAAAATGTGAGAATATAGTTCTGAAGGATGATGTGAGGATAAAAGAGGTATTTTTGAGCAATAAAAACACCTGTAATTGAATGCATAAATTCAAGCTGGATAAGATAAGTGGCATACTCTGAATTATTTTCTACAAAGCAATAACATCTCCATAGAGGCATTATAAAAGTTCACCTTTAATTTTAGTGAATTTCTATATTTTACTCCTAATTTGAATGCATTCTGTATGTAGTTTGACAGACCGCATTCAAACTAGGCAATGTGGGTAAAGTGTCTTGCTAAATGGGTCCATGTTACACTATTTTCTGATCTATGTTCTAATGTTGTTTCCTCATCAAAAAACATACCTGAAGTTGTGTTTTGTTTAACACACTAAACCACAAGCAAACACATTTAAGCTGACTTCTTTGCTCAGACAGAAAACACCCTGTTCTACCTTGTGATGTCATGCAGTAATACATGGACTACTCTATTTTTAAACTTCATACACCTTTACTGCCCTGGAATTGCCTATTTCTACTGAACTAAAGGAAAAAGGTGAGTGTTAAGTTGAAAGCTACAGCTTCATGACACAAGGTGGAACAAAACATTTCCAACATGCTAACATGACTAAAAGCTCATGTAATATTGGACCTTTAAGAACTCAATAACAGTAGAGTCACTGATGTTTAAAAGTGAGTCTAAAAATGTGTTTATAACTGTATAACTAGTGCACATGTATAGTGTACATTTATATTACACTTATTGTCAGTAGAGTCACAATTTAAATTTTCTTTTTTCATTAATTTTGAATAAAATTACAGCTATATAAAGTATGGTTTTCCTTGTAATAGTATTTCTATCTTTGAATCCTGAGTATCATTTAGCTAAATGTCAGCCATGTTATAATTTTGTTTGCTCATAATGCATAAATGTTTAGATTTGCAATAGTTTTATAGCACATTAATAATGTATAGCCTGACTTATTGAACCTGATAACAAAAGGTGTGCCTAAATGTATAATGAAATGTGTTATATCCATCCATGCTAACCGCTCATGTTAGCTAACCGCACTCTTCTAGTGACAGCTAGTAGCACGCTCCATATCGACCTTTCCCGACCTTTAACTCACCTGCTACTTTTAAAACTTCCAAATCAGTACAACCTCTACACTCCAGTTTATCAAATTTTCCACGGTATTCCTTTAAGACTGCAGAAAACATGTTGTCAAAACAAGTCATCAATGAACTGTGAATAAGACCCGGCAAAAGGCGGAACGGCGCGGAGTAACAAGATTAGCGTCCGTGGAGTAGCTCTGTGTTTACAGCTAGGAGTACCCGCGCGGTGGTTCATGCAGCTAATGCTAGTGTTAGCGTGTATGTGACTCAAATGATAATGAGTGCAGTGGAACGGGCACGATCAGCGCTAAAAGGGAATATTATATAGACTTCATCAGGACCATAACTAATGCATGAGTCAGGCTTGTATTCAACACCAGCTTTTGTGTTTCCACTGCTGTTTATGCACAAAGTCTGTGTGTACAGATTGGGCCTAATGTAGTTTTATAGTTTAGTTTGTTTGAGTCAAGTAAGGGTAAAGGCAGCAAGGTACTCCTCAACAAGATCCTAGATATAGGTCAAACATAGACTGTATATATAAATGGACACAGCTAACCTGCTAGCTGCCACATTCCAAATAGTAAGTGAGCATGGGCGTTCTTTCAGCTCCTTCGATATCTTTGCAGTTCGCTGTGTAAATGCTGCTGTCAGACTCGTCATTTGCATATGTTCAAGTTTCTGCTGCCTCCAGTGGCCACATTGGTATAACAGAAATCTATAAAGCTGTTTATCTACCCCCTGATGTTTCTGGCTTCCCTGGCTTTAATCAGGCCGGTACAGTGTGATATGACATACTACTTGAAAATGCAGTGGCCAGTGGAGGCAGCACACACTCACACACAGTTTTTGACCACAAAGCTGCTTATTTACCTAGTTTGCATTAAAATTGCCACACACAAAAACACAGAACAGAACAGAACAGTACACAATACTTATAAAAGTTTAGTAGCAAAAAAGTTTATTAAAGTAGTGTAAAAGACAATCATTTAGAAGATGTAATTACCTTGTTGACATGTTTTTGCTGTTAACTGTGAGCCATCTTTAGAACTGTCATCGCTGAGGTGTAAAACGACTCAGTGACTCTTGTTGTATTAATGAAGCAAGCGTACTCCAAAACACTGGTTCAAATCTGGACAAAGATCGATCTATAAGTCCCAGACCAGTGTGTCCTGGCCAACATCATGTGCTCAATCTACATTTAGAATAAGCTGTACGTGTACTCCTGACCTTGGCCCTGGCTGAATTCTGTCTTACTATAGTAATCCTTTATTGCCCTGTATTTGAATCTTGCTCAAAGGGCTCAGAACACTTCAGTTTGAATGCTTGCTTAGGGATAATCAGCTCTGTGGGAACTAATGACCACAAGACCTATAATTTTATTTAAAATCTATTTCTGAAGCTATAAAACCACCTATAATTTAATAAATGTAAGGTAGAGCTGTTTAATGTCATACTTTGGAACTTTCCAGGCAGCGCAATGACATATCCATAGAAAGCAGCAGGTGACGGACCCCCGAACAAAAAGTTACATAATGCACCCGGTGCTGGTTAGCTGAGCAGTGTCTTTGAACTCTTAATATACTTTTTTTTTTTTTTTTTTTCAAAAAGTCTATGGGAAAAATGAATGGAAAATGTACTTTGGAAACCAAAATTTTTTTGATCAATACAAAAAAATGACAATTAACAACATGTAAAATGATGTATGCTATAGTAGTACTAAATACTTTCAAAAACAAGGTTTTTTGAGCTCTGATGTTGGGTCTGCTTACTCCAGACCAAGACTTTGACACTGATCATAGGATAACCTCTGTACTCCTGAAGTGAGAAGAGACGTGCTAGCTGGAAATGAGTTGGATCAGTGTACACACCTCATATCTTTAGATGGATTACCGTAGGCCTGTCACAATAACAAATTTTTAAGTGTGATATAGTGCGGAAGAAAATATAGAAAATAAAAGATAATATAGAAACTAATTTATACCACTGACACAATCATCAAAAGCAGGATTATTAAATAAATATACATATATTCTAAATGTACAATATGATGAAATACTTAGTTAGAATACATCTAGAATTCAACCCTCCTCAGCTGGAATGTAAAATCAGTACGGAAAAAGAACAAAAACTCCCACAATAAATATTGACCTTGAAAATATATTGTTCCATCTTTAATATCCTGATGTTGATATTGTAATTATCATGACAGGCCTAGATTAGCCTAGGTCCTATATTATGCAAAATGGATTCTTGTGAGCTTGTTAGAATGTTGTTACCTGCTCAAAAACATACCTGGACATGTGTTTTGTTTCATTTACACGTTTAGCCAATCCTTTATTTTTAGTCTATCTACATCTCCACAGATGAAAATGCTCAGTTCCACCTTGTGATGTCATGAAGGGGTAGGATTTGTGCATTAAAATGAATGTGTGTCCAAACACAATAAGAAATTATGAGAAGTGATGAGAAAACAACATTATAACAGATCAGAAAAGTCTAATACGAGGCCTTTCAAGTTAAACGTTGCTGTACATTTCTTGGCATACACTATTCATTACACATGTGACACTTTTATACCAATCTATTTCATCATATACATTAAAACTCTAACTGCATTGCGAGTTTTACAACCATGTCAATATTAAAATGCATCTTCAGCCATAACTATAGATTCTGCTTTTCTTCAATTTTGTAGTAACGCAATTTATGCCCCTGCAAAATCAGCAGTACCAAACAGTGGCAATTGCCGGCTATGTAGTGCTAGCTTTATAAAATTGCAAGCTTATCATTCAGTAAATAGTTCTGTGTTAATACATTCAGAGGAGAAGTTTTGTTTGTCCAGCACTATGAAGTCTGTGCATGCACTTTTGTACTATTTGGGCTGTTCCGGACAAGTCAAGTAATTTTCTGATACTATGCTTGTGTATTTTATTTTATTAGATTTATTTTAGAGATGAGATTAGAGCGGTCAAATTTGTCAGGTCCAAAAACAAACTCTCAGTGTGTAAAAATAATCTGGTCAGGTAAATTACTCATTAGACTATTATGCTTGTGTAGTTTGAAGTAACGTTACTCATACTTCAGTAAAAGTTTTCAATGTAGGTTGTGGTGTTGATGGCATAAGTAGGTATCCTTTTCCACTTCCTGTGTTCCAAAAACTGCTACTTAACTGATGCAAAACTATGATTAATATTTACCACAGGTACTACACCAAGTCATAAAGATTAATAATAATAATAATAATAAAAAGCTTTCTTATGCACTTAACGCACTAACAATTTACTTAGTTGTGGTACTTTTGGCTTTTTCGTGGGATCCGAATCTTTTGGAATGGCGCATTTCAAGAGCAGTTGAAAAGAATAGCCCTTTTTATATATTATACACTTATATGACAGAAGTGAATGTGAGAACTCATTTAATCTAAAAACTAATCACAGAGAGAAATGACCAAGGCTCAGATTTGATTAAACTGTTCAGACTGAAAGTGGGAGTGTGTCTAGCCTCTGAAATTATGCCTAATATAAATAAAATGTTGCACTGTAATAAAAAGACAGACTATTAAGTTTTTTGTGCAAAGCTCTCACTCGTGTTGTCATCTCATCTATGCTGAGTTGATTGGACATAAATCAATGTAAAAATGGGGGTATTATGCAAAATAGATTGTTTTTTGTTTTCTATCATGTTATAATGTTTGTCCCACATCAAAAACATGAAGAATTATCTAGTGATCTCTCCTGGGCCCTATTTGAACCCTCCTTATGGTTAGCTGTAAGATTTTGTGCAATGCTCAGCCCACATACCTACATCCTCCATACTCCCAAATGAGAATTCTCCATAAATATACAAAAGCATGATACAAAACTGTACACAACAACTTCACAAACCTGATGCAATGTGCAGTAGTTTCATTAGTGGGATGCACAGTGATTGTGGGGGGATCCAATAAAACAAAATAATAAGTTATCCAAATTTCTCAGTATGATATTTTCACGGTATGCATATAGTGTCTCGGTACAATATTTATTGTGATATTTTGTAGAGGCTAATAAAATTGTGAATATACAACTTTTTCTTTTTAAACACGCCTTGAGAAGTCTTTAGTTCTGTCATAAGATAAAGAGTTAAGACTAAAAAGTGCTTCATAAATTATTTCATTGTGTAAAGTTAATTCAAACAGAGCAAAGAATTATTGTATATGTTGTTCTCTCTGTTTCTTTCACCTATTGCTGCACCATAACAATGAATTTAAGTGAAGACTTGAGATTCAATATATAGTGTTTGCCCAAGATATTATTGAGAGACTTTTGAAGATAAGATATCACTATATTGAGATTATTGTCGCATCCCTAATGTCTTTGCTGTGTATAGCCTTTTCAAAACAATAAAAGGAGACATGGTGATCTAAATATGTTATGTGTTAGCAGTTAATACCCCATAGAAGTGTAATACTGCCTCTTTAACATACTGTATAACTCTAATTCCTCACTTTTGTTGTAGGTTGCCAATCTGCTCCGGCTCTTCCAGATCCCTCAGATTAGCTACGCCTCCACCAGTGCCAAACTCAGTGACAAAACCCGCTACGACTACTTCGCCCGCACCGTACCACCGGACTTCTATCAGGCCAAGGCCATGGCCGAGATCCTGCGTTACTTCAACTGGACCTACGTGTCAACCGTGGCATCTGAGGGAGACTACGGGGAGACTGGCATAGAGGCGTTTGAGCACGAAGCACGCATGAGGAACATCTGCATCGCCACGTCAGAGAAGGTCAGATTGTTACTGTTATCACTGAGAAGCAGCAAATATTGTGGCTCATACAGTTGTCACATTTCATAAGAACTATACTTTAATTTTCCTTAAAGGTTCCTTGTGTAGCTGTCTGTTAAATGCCTTTCTCTGTGTAAATGTTATTGCTGTTTGTGGAATGTGTCAGTGTTTAAAGCTTTCTATATTCATGGAGACCAAACCAGGCCAAGTTACAGGTTAGATCTGTGGAGAGGCAATCACACTCACAGTCAGAATGCCTGCCTCTAGGCACTTTTGAGCTATAAAACCACATGTAATTTAATTGTAATGTAGAGCTGTTTAGTGTCATACTGTGGAACATTCCAGGCAGTGCAATGACATTTCCATAGTAGGTGATGGACCCCTCAGCCAAAAAGCTATACAATGCACCTTCAATTCATAATGACCATATATTATATTATGCTATATTGACTCTTGTGAGCCTTAAGGAATGTTATAATGTTTAGAGATTGACAATTCTACATCTGAAATTATCCTAATGAATGTAGTGAAGTTGTATTGAATTTAAAAACACAGTGAAACACTTCATTTCCTTTAAGAAATAATCAGGCTTAGTGGTCACCAGGTCAAATGTATTTTTAGAAAAAAAGCTTTGAATAGTTTCAGCCCCCTCTGTTGACCATAGTAGTGTAAAGAAGGCTATAAACTGCTAGTTCAAACTTGTAAATTATGTTTTATAATGAAGGTCTTTAGAGCACTGAAATGAAAAAAGAGTCTAGTGAAGGTGTACAGACGAAAACAACCATAGAAAAAAACATTATAAAACAACTAAGCCTGAGTTTCCAGGGCCTCATGCCAGGTGCACACTGACTGCAAGTGCAGTGCAGTTCGGAACATGCGTGGGTCCCACAAGACTTAGAGAGTCATTAGAATCAGTAGCACCCTGCCACACTGACTTCAGTGCGGTGCTGGGGTGCGGGCCTGCGGAAAGAGTCCACGAGAAGTGTATTTTTGCTGGACACCGCAGCAGTCTCTGACGTTAAGCTGACAAAATCACAAACAGGAAATCAGACGTGCAGAACTGACAGATCTGGTGTACTGTCAATAAAATATCCCTACACACTCCTGATCCTTCACAAATGTACTAACCCACTGTTGATAGCCACGGTATCCAAAAGCATGATAAAGTGGTATCCAAAGGCGCGAGAATGTGGTCGTAGTGTGAAATGCTGCTGTTGTTTACCCACAAGCCTTCTTGTACATACTAATCTATTGTGTGGACTCCCGTCCAGAGCGTGTATCCCCGTGAATATGTAGTCTGGGGAGCGCAGTTTCCACACTCTGCCCACAGACCGCCGTGACCGCACAGCAGCTGAGGCCGCAATCAGTGGGACATACAAGTCACAGTAAAAAACAGTGAACCCGGTCAGTCAGTGTACACCGGGGGTTATTCTGTTTTTATTATTCATTCATTGATTCATTGAGAAGTGTGAACAACTTTTTTTTAGATAATTAGATAAATTAGGTACTTTTTAGAGTAAACAGGATTAGCCACATATCTGAGAGGCTTCTTCAGTTTTGCTGCAGCTCTGGTAAGGTATATTGTAGTGGTGGAAGGTAATGAGCTGTAAAGTACTAGACTTAAAAGTTAAAAGTGCTTTGTCTTTAGGGGTTATTTTTACCATGTCTGTGGTAACATCCTGACTAAAGTTTTTGAATTCAAGCTTCAGCTTTCAGCAAACAAAAATAAATACACAAAGTTTATTAAAAAAAATAAGAAATTGATTCATATTGACACTCTTGACCAAAATCTCTAATTTTACATCAGTATCACTACAGTTTTGACTTTTAAAGTACATTTTTAAACAGGAACTTTAATACTTTGTACTTATGTGAATTTTTTAATATGATGCCTGTACTTGAGTAAATTTTGCCTCTGTATCTGTTCTTTTACTGTTTCATCCACCATTGCCTCTCTGAAGGGAGGAGTTAACTACTGTTCACAGCTCTGGATAATTCAATGGACTTAACTAATAACAGATACTTTTTACTGTACTGTAAACAACTAAGGGGTGTTAAGTTTCATTGTAATTGGCTGCTCCCTTCAGACAGATATCTAAGCCAGTCTCTTCTCAGAACAGTGGCAAAACTAAAGAAACCTTTGAGTGATGAAACTTATCTAAATACACATTATCCACACTTCACATACACCCCTCCCTTTATTACCTTTTTGCGTTCCTTCCCATTTATAAGTGCCTGCATGCACACTCCATGCCACAATTAACAATAATAATACAAAAAAAGAAAGTACAAAAAGGTGAGACGTGTAACCAAAGCCGTAATCGGATAAAAGTGTGTATCTTTGTCCCGATCTGTCTGGATTAAGAGTAACACTGCTCAGAGCGAGATAGAGCAAATTGAAAGCGTAGCGCGCGGAGATGTTGATGTACGGAATAAGCGTGCTAAATGTGTACACGCACAGAGTTTAGCCTCGCTGTCTGAACCCACACAAACGCGCTTTATATTACACCCATGTTATCAGCGAGGAGCCGTGGAATAAGCAATCTCTCCCCAAAAGCAAGGATCGCCCCAAATCAAACCCATTTTTCATTGGATTTACCAAAGACCGCGCTGCCCAAATTGTGAGAAATAAACAAGAACGAAACATAGAATTGGATTGTAAATTAAATAAAAGACAAATCTGTTGGAAAATGTAATCTGATATGATAACAGTAATACTCAAAATCAATCATCCGGGCGCTGTAGTCAAGCTAGTCTCACTAATGTTAATCTGAAGAGATCAAAAACAACAATGTTCCTGCCAATTCAAACCACCGGCGACTTAAAGTGACACTGACTAATGTGGGAGCTGAGAGTTTATGAAATAGATGAATTATAGAGTTTAGCCTCTGGCAGGTAGACAGCAATACAGTAAAGAGAGACATATGGAAAATATCATTGAGTAGCAGAGAGAAGCAGGCGGTGCCAAAGTTGCAGGTCAGATCTGTGGAGCTACCCTGCTGACTGTAACGTTTACACTGAAATGAACTACTGTGTCACCATATCAGAAATGATTTGCGTTCAGACACCTCGTTTCTGGGTCCGCAATCAAAGCGTCACATGACCGATTTCCCAAACCCAGCGAATCAGGAAGGCGCACGTCACAGTGACATGGTCCAATAAGGACGGCAACTAGAGCTCCTGCGTCAGCGTATCAACTTTTTCAAGTGTCCACACAGTGCCGGATCAAATCCGTACTTAGATGAATTTGTGGGACCTGGCTGCAGCAGATCGTTCTGTCTCTGGAGCCGTTTTCAATCGGATTAGTGTGGGCGAACACTGCATCCACAATGAAAATGACTCAAATACGCACTAGTGTGGATAGGCCCTAAAAATGCAGGTTTTTCTACATATTTTTGAACAATGAAAACATCTGGGAAATGTAATGTAATGTTCTGGAACATTATAGAAAAAAAACAGCAGCATCACAATGGAGACAGGCTCATTCACCCTCTTTACACTTTCATTCAGTCATGTTTAACACACAAATCCTCCATGTTCTTCTCTCAAACTGAAAACGATGACATGTGATGTCAGTAATACTGGAAGTGTCTACTGTGTTTTTAATCTCCATACATCTTGACTAAAATCATTTGGATGATTTCAGACCTGGAATTGCCTATTGCTGCTGAACTAAATATAACTCCAGGTATGTTTTTGAGAAGGTGACAACATTCTAAAAGCTGTGGCTAAAAGCTGAATTTGGCATGATATGGGACCTTTAAACATTGATTAACACATCCTATCTAACCTCCTGTATTCTGCTTGTGTCCAGGTGGGGCGCTCTAACGCTAAGAAATCGTACGAGGTGGTGATCCGACAGCTGCTGCAGAAGCCCAATGCCCGTGTGGCCGTGCTCTTCCTGCGCAGTGATGACGCCCGGGAGCTCCTCGCCGCTGCTGCCCGCCTTAACACCTCCTTCATCTGGGTGGCTAGCGATGGCTGGGGGGCGCAAGAGAGCATAGTCAAGGGCAACGAGATCACAGCGGAAGGGGCAATCACGCTCGAGCTAGCAGCCAATCACGTGCCGGACTTCAACCACTACTTCCTGAATCTGAACCCTCATCGGAATCATCGGAATCCGTGGTTTAAGGAGTTCTGGGAGCAGAGGTTTCAGTGTTCGCTAGCCGGAGAGAAGCACTTGCCTCCGTGTGGTAAAGATCTGGTCATAGACAAGGGTACTTTCGAGCCGGAGTCCAAAATCATGTTTGTGGTGAACGCGGTGTACGCCATGGCCCACGCGTTACATCACATGCACCGGAGCCTCTGCACTAATGCCACCCACCTATGTGACGCCATGAAGGCCCTGGACGGACGAAGACTTTATCGCGAATTCATCCTCAACGTTAGCTTTCCAGGTAAGACTATTGTTGGTTTTAGTTTTTAGGGAGGCATCATATTCTTCAGCCAACTAATTTGCATGTACAACTATATGAGAGTGAATGATAACCCTAAGAGAGAAAAAAAAAAACTTTTGACACCTGCTTGTCTCCTTAAGGTTGTTATTGCTTTGCCTGGAATGTAAACTTTATCTCTATGGTTACAAGTAGGTTGCAAGTTACAGGTCAGATCTGTCGAGACTCAGACTATGAATGGCAACTAAGACTTTGGCAATATAAAGACCTGTAATATTTTTTTAAAAAATGCAATATAGTTAAGCCCTAAGATGGAATAACTTCAGGGAAATAAATAAGTGACAAACCCTTCATCAGAAAAGTTGCATAGTGGACCTTTAAAGCTGAGTTACCTGATTTTCAAACTGTGAAAGGAGGAAGTAGGCATTTAAATCTGTCTAACTCATCCTTAGCTCTCACAAACCCTTTAGAGCATCATTAATATCCACATTTACATTGAGTACCTATGCTAATTTTGATTTGTGCACTTCACTAGACTTGACTTCTTGGTTGTATTTTGCAAAAGTATATTCTTCATAATTATCAACAGTAGTAGTTGCCGTAATGACTTTTCCTGTTATTATATGTATTAGGTCAATGTTTCTCAAACTACTTCTACTACTTCTACTTCTACTATTGGTATGTGAGCTCCTTCCATCATTCGCAGTGCCTCTGCATTTCAAAAATTTGCTGAATTACAGTCATTTTAATTCCTCCCTTGGGTTACTATTTAGAACGAGTGTAATAAATGTGTTTTTTTGTTTGTTTGTTTGGTTGGTTGGTTGTGGGTTTTTTTTTATGTAATATGGCCAAAAACCTAGAGTAGTCCAATTTCCAGTAGTCCATTTTCGATCTGGGTTGGATCCAGTGGTACTCAGAAGCTAAAATATTTTCTTTGGAGGTACATTGGCAATGTTTGAGAAACTTCTAAAAATATTTATGATTGTCTAAACTCCATCATCATACAAAATAAAATCATTCAAATTTTGCAAGGAGAGATAGCCCCCAGACTCACCTTTCAATTGATAAATAAGTACATGTTTAGAATTTGCAATATTGGGGTTCACTAAGTATCTCCAGGAGCAGTAGTGTGTGGCATTGTGTTGACGTCTGGGCATGGGTAATGGCACGTATCCACACCTGCCCAATCCAAAGGGGAAGGTTGCTGTCTGTCTCCCCTCCATCCATCACTCCCTGGTCTGCTTTGTTTGTGATAAATGACTGCTGTTATGGTGCTTCTAGGCAGAATTTGATGTAAAACTTTGCACCAGTCCAAACCCAGCTACTTTGGGCCTGAAGGGGGTACTATGTATAAATGAGGTCCGAAATGAGGTCAAATTCTCTGCGATGTGGGGCTTTTAACTGAGATCAAGATTTAGTCAGTAAAAGCATGTGGTTTGGAGCGAACACAAGACTTTGAAGGAAGAAATATGACTATTTTGGTGTTGAAGTTCTTCAGTGTATACTGGAAGACATTTTGCATTATTAAAATGGGGAAGCTTTCAAACATGTTATAATGTTGTACCTTCATCAAAAACATGCCTAAAGAGGTTTAATATTTTGTGATCTCTCCCTGGCCCCGAACCCTCCTTGTGGTTAGCTGTAAGTTTCTGAGGAACGCTCAGCCCACATGCCTACGTTATTCATGCACCCATATGACAATTTTTTATAAATATACAAAAACCTGACACAAAAAAATACACTACAACTTCCCAAACCTGATGACATGATGCTGTAGTTTCATTAGCGAGATGCACACTGTCGCACTGTGGATTAAAGAAATTCAATTAGGTTAAGAACAATAGCTGCTAGTCTGAGTTGTGATGCAGTGCAGGCAATGTGAAGTCTTCTGCATTACCAACTGATGATGTCACAAGGTGAAACCAAGCTATTGAAAGCTCTAGTAATATAGTAAGTTTAAATACGTTGATTGTTGATTTTGTCTTCAAATAAATTGTATGGTCGGGGTCTGCTACTTGCTTGTTTCCATGGAGATGATATTGCCTAGCCTAGAATGTTCCACAGTATGGCGTTAAACTTATCGGCACCACTAGGCCAAAGTACAAGTCAGATCTTTTTCACTTACATGGCTAATAACACTCAGTTACAAGTAGAAGTATAAGTACATAAAAATCTACTCTAATCTACTCAATTACAGTAATGTGAGTATTTATAATGAGTAATAATGTTGCTTCCCACACTTGTTTTTAGAACCTGTTATCACAATATACCTGTTACCTGTTAACACAATATACATAAGTTTAATGCCATACTGTGCAACATTCCAGATAAAGCAAAAAAATCTCCATGGAGACAAGCAGTTGGCTAACCACTACTGAAAAAATAGTAACTCAGCGCACCTTTAAACATAAGATAATATAGTCCTTTATTATGCACATCCTGTTCCACCATACTCACTTTAAAGCACATTGAAATGCTAATATTTACTGAGAGACATTGCGAAGTATTTGTCTTACGGGATTTGCCAACGATTGCATCACGTCTTCATTTACATTTTACACTGTCCACAGTATGAGACTAGTTTCTTGTGCTTCCTTTGAACAAAACCTGGACAGACCCTTGGAGATGAGAGACTGAAAAGACGTTCATAACAATCCAGTCTGGAGAATGGGTCAGAGCTTGTTAACAGTCCCGTCATGAACACCTTGCCGTCTTTTGTCCTTCAAAGCCTGCGCCCGCTCAGCACGCTCAAATCCTCTTTAATTGCTACAGCGTCTCGTCATCCCACTTCCATTGACACCCATTACCCAAGCGTAATCACTGACAAGCCGCTTTTGAGGAACAAGGTGCTGTAGCGTGAATAATGTAGTGGGCAGCCATGTTTTTGGTTTTCCCGCTTTGCACTAAGGAGCAGAGGTGGGTAGAGTAGTCAATAATAGTACTCAAGTAAGAGTATTGTTGCTTCAAAATACTATTACTCAAGTACAAAGAAGTGGTTCAAGAAATAGAGTAAAAAAAAAAGTATTTTGGAAAATACTGCTCAAATAATATAGCAGACTGGATCTTAAATGTATCATTTGAAGTATGTAACTGGAATGAAGAACAGAATCTTAAAGGTCCTGTACTTGATTTTTTCCATGTATTTGAGCAGATGTTTTCTTGCCTCAGTACAAATCTATTGTATGAGGAGCTCTTGACAGCTCTCTTAACTTTATTATCTCAGCAAACACAGCTTGTCTCTTAGAACTGTGAAAACCTCTTATAAACTCATTTCAGTGGTGCTCAGAATGTATATTGTAAGTGAGAAATAACCATTTAAAATGAAATAGTTTTGTTTTTCATACTTTAAAATTCAGGCACAGTACCTTTAAATACATTTTATCAGATCTCAGAAGTTAAGTAGAGCTGGGCCTGAATATGAGGTGCCACAGAAGGGCAAAAACTGACAGTGGCAAAAACTGTAGCTGTCTCCTCACGCAAGACACTTCAACTACATTTGTGAAGTCGGGGCTGCTCGGAAGGGCCATTGCAGATTGGCAGCCTTGCTTCAGTCAGTCTGCCCCAGGACAGTTGCAATTGTGGCTTACCACCACCAAGTGTGGAGTGAATAAATAATGCACTTAAATAATGCATTGTAAAGCTTCTTATGATTATTACAGTGGGAAGAGTAACTAAAACCTTGACTTAAGCAAGAGTACTGTTACATCAGTAAAAAAAAATAAGTATGCTGCTTTAAATACAACGCAGTACTACCCACCTCTGCTAATGAGATTATGTGTGTTATAATAGCCTGCTCCGCTAGTCTGCCTGTGCCTGGGGACCCAAAGGAGGAAAAGAGTGAAGGAGAAGCCGGGTAGCCTTGACTGACAGATGGCGCATAAAAACCAATGAGTTATAAATAAACTCTCAGCGTCTTGGGGACTGACACAGGTTTTGGGGAAAAAAAGCTTATTCCCAAAAAGCGTGACCGCGAGCATCAAAACAGCACAGTTCGGAATTGGCGGGTGGAGAGATAAGAGGAGATAAGAGAGTTAAAGTTGGGGGGAAAAGGTAAAACGAAGCGATGCCTTTGAAAAATTCACCTTAATTTCAGCGCCAAAAAGCACTCGGAGAGGAGAGGCGGAGGAGGGGGGTGGGGACTTCGGTGCGGAGTGGAGTTTGCAGGAATGATGAGCGGTGGATGACAGCACAGAGCAGAAGGCGGTAGAGCTATAAAGGCAGGTTTAAGGGGCTTTTTATGGAGAAGAGAAGGAGAGGTGTGAAATGGGCTTATTTACACAGAAGATGTATTCATGCACGCGACTCAAAAACTTGGAAAGCGTCTTGGAAAACACATTGTCAGTTTGGAGGAATGACTAAGTTTGGGGATGAAATGGTTCACACTGGCACAATTACCACATTGAAATTGGTACTATACTGGGACCAAATCCGAAACTAAACCAAAACTAGACCAGGACTAAACCTTAACTAGAATAGGAACAAACCAAATCTATATTTGTCTGAAAATGGCCCATACCAGGACTAGTGTGAATGTCAATATGAGGCTCCATAGTGGTCCATGGGCGTATACTAGTCTATGTGATCTTATTCTAGTTCTTATACAGCTCAATATCATTCTAAAGGAAAGGTTAATTTCTGTCCTGTGCATGTGTCTTAAGTATCAATACCTGTTCACATGAGTATCTAGTTTTTAGTATCTGATTTTCAATACTTTTGACAACTCTGTGGCATACTGCTTGGTCATGTCTACTCAATGCAAGTAGTTTCCATTGATCTGGGTCCCTGACCTGAAGTTTGTATGTGGATAGAGATAAAGAATGAGACTTTTTTCATACTGCGTGTAGTTTAAAGGGGCATGATGTAACTTTGACAATGTGCCTGTCTCCATAGAGATGTTATTACTTTGCCTGGAAGGTTTCACAGTATTTCATCCATTCAAACATAAGTTGTTTTTTTTGTTTGTTTTTTTTTTTTTTTATTCACCTATTTGTTTCCATGAAGAT